TCAGCACTAATATCCTAAAAGAATAGCTTGTATTAAAAAGCTTCTATGATGAAAACTGTGAAAAATACTGTTCTGAAGACTCTCAAAGCCTCTTCATCAGTTCTAAAACTCTGGTTTATCTGGATTCCAAATTACCTTTCATTTAAAAATTAGGTCTGCTACTAGAACATTAAAGACAAATGTCCAAAGAAATATTCATCTTGAGGAAGATGACAATTAGTTTAAATGTAAAAGAACAAGCAAAGAAATAATTTCTATGAATCTAAATGTAATATTTTGTGAGTATAAATCTAAATTATAATATTTTCATTTTGATTATTATTAATATATTTGAGTAATACTTTGCTATAATTTCTAATAAGAAAGTATTTACACAAACAGGTTGTATGGAGTAAATAGTTCTGTTTTGTATGTGAAATGACTCAAAATGGATTTGATGATGGTGCTGGGGGCTTCTAAAATATACTAACTTTAACTGACATGCTACTATAAACATTTTTAAGATTCTGTTTGTTAGCACCTTCCAAATGAAAATATAAGATGAATTCAGCTCCTTTGAAATGAAAATATGATATGAATCATTTTACTACTGGGCCAATTTATCACACAAATAATATAGCTCCTTTATAAATTATAAATGTGCTATTTATACTTTATATTGAAGCAACACTATTGCCTTAGTTATTTACAAACTTTTAAAGTAGAGTTCGAGGGTATTTTAAAAATCATTTTTTCAAAATCACTTTTATTCCCTAACCATTCCCTATGCTAACATTATGGAATAAAGCTGGTTATAGATTTTTTTATTCCATTCCCCTCATGGTGTCAGTGAGGACCACCTTTAACGGGGTAAAGAAAACTGTCCTTTCATTCTCTATGCTAACAAATATGACAAACAGTACCTCTACTGCTGTTCCAGATATACATTGTTTCATATAGGAAACAATTCAAAGACTCTAAGCATTAGCTTTGTGGCAAAAATTAGGTACAAAATTCAATGATGAATATATTTCAATGATGTAATCGAAGGCAAGCAAGCATTAGAGAGAAAATACAACAAGTTTTTTATACAGCTCAGAAAACATCATACCTATTTATAATAGCCAAAAACTAAAAATGGCACAAAATTCCATGAACAGGTGACTGATTAAACAATATAGAATGTGTCCATATATTGGGACTTAAGTCAGAAGTAAAAAGGAATGGACCGTCTACAAAATACTTGACCAGTATTCTTTAAAATTGTATAGGTCATAAAAGTCAAGGAAAAACTGAGACTTGCCAGAGATCAGAGGAGACTAATGAGACATAAGGACTAAATGCAATGAGGTAACCTAGATTGGATTGTACCCATTAAAATAAAGAAGTAAAAAAATGATGAATTCCAAGTAAAGTCTATAGTTTAGTCATTAGTATTGTATAAATGTTAATTTCTCCATTTTAACTAATTTGCAATGGTTATGTATAATGTTAACATTCAAGGAAGCAAAGTAAAATATTACAGGAGCCTGATGTACTTACTATATTTGCAACATCTCTATAAATCTAAAATTCTAAAAAAAAAATGTTTTTCTGAAGGAATTAACTATTAATACATGTTTATACCATGGGTAAGTCTCAAAAATTATTATGTAAAATGAAAAAAGCTGAACAGAAATTAGTACATATTGTATGATGTGCATTTATGTAAAATTCAAGGAAATGCAAACTAATGTACAGTGATAGAGTATGAGCGGTTTCCGAGGGAAGAAGGCAAGGGAAGAGAAAGGAGTGGAAGAGAGAAACCACAAAGGGGTAGGAAGCCACTTCCGAGGATGGTGACTGTATGTGTTGTCTTGACTGTGATGGTTTCTTGAGTACGTGCATAAGTCAGGTCTTATCAAATTTCACTTTTTAAATATGTACATTTTATACCTTAATAAAGCTGGTTTAAAAATTAGAAAAACAAAAACAAAGCATACCTAACTGGCATAACTCTTGCACCTGCAGACTCCAGATACTTTACGTAGGATGCAGCAATATAATATTTTCCAAGGTTTTTCATGGATTTAGTACGGCATTTTTGCATTAATACTCCTAAACAACAACAAAAAAAAAGTTTTAGTTTCAAGCAAATTCCTTTTCTTCTTGCTCAGAAAATAAAAACTATCCCAGTAAAAATATCCTATTTTTTAATTCTCAGAATTAAATAGGAAGCTTCTCCTACAAATCTATCCATACACTCTGGAGAAGGAATGTCAGAAAACTAATCTGCCAAGCAGCCTCCTCTCTCTTACCACATCAGGGAGGCCAAATAAGCCCCCAAAGTAGGTTTACAATGGTACCAACAACCATCACACAACCTTAGACCTAGAATCCATCTCAAGGGTACAGATCCTTCAGCTCCAAGGAACCCACTCCCTTCCTACAGACATGTTGATTCCTTGACAAAAAGCAAAAGCATGATAATCTTCTATCCATATCTCTCTAACATCACCAGCACCATCTTAATCCAAGAACTAGTATCTCGCCTCTCCCCATAAGACTAATAGGTTCTTAAAAGGTCTTTCTATACTGTTTCTTAAAAGAAGAGAAAAAACCCACATGGTCTGCTCTCCACATGGGGACAAATCTGGTCATATCACTATTCCTTCATTCATTCAATATACTGTATACTGCTGACTCACGCTATATACCAAACAATGACCTAGGTGCTAGGGTCATATGAATGAACTAAACAAAAATCTCTGCCCTGCGGCATTAATCCTAGTGTGTAAGAGGGAGGAGAGAAAGGACAAACAAGATAAAAAAGTACAATCTATCCTGTGATGGCTGGTAGTAAGGAGAAAAAGTAAAGAGTGAAAAGTGGCTGGGGGCAGAGGGGAGGGTCCTTATGGAGAAGAGGGGAGATTCTCAAATAGGGTGACCAGACAGTCCTTCCCAAGCAGGTAGAACACAAGATTTGAGCTGGGAATTCAGAGGGGTTAGGGAGTTAAGCAATATTCAGATAACAGTGATCCAAGGCAAAGGAAAAGCAAGTGCAAAGGCCATGAGTCAGGTGTGCGCCCATCACGTTGCAAGGATGTGACAAGGCCCTGTGAGAGAAGGGAGAAAGCCATGGGAAATGAGATGAGACAGCTACAGATCAGCAGGGGTCATCACTGTGCTTAAACATCTCAGTGGGCTCAGTGCCTGTACTTCAGCAGGTAGGGCACCAGCCACATACACCAGAGCTACGGGGTTCGAATCCAGCCTGGGCCTGCCAAACAACAATGACAACTACAACCAAAAAATAGCTGGGTCAACATTGTGGCAGGCACCTGCAGTCTCAGCTACTTGGGAGGCTGAGGCAAGAGAATAGCTTAAGCCCAAGAGTTGCAGTTTGCTGTGAGCTGTGATGCCACAGCATTCTACCCAGGGCCACAGCTTGAGACTCTGTCCTGGGGCGGGGGGGGGGGGGAGAACCAGTGTGCTCTGCCGCACCCACTTTTCTGACTACCTTTTACTAGTGAAACCCCAGCCCTTGCCTAGTACTAGCATTCAGTATACATCAAAGCATGTCTATTTTGTCTAGTGAGTACCTGTGCTCATTATCAGCCCATATTCCACCACTTAGAGCACTTTCGATTGAGAGACATTCTCAATGTCTCTATAGGCTATCTGATGGGAAAAGCTGTTGTCTGTATGAATCACTTCGTATTTCCAGCTTCTTATAATAATTGCCATTTATCAGGTACCCAGTTAACATATGTCAAAGACCAAAATTTGTTCAGGAAGACTGTTTTCTCCTCTCTGGTAGGCAAGATCATCTTTATTAAAGAAAAATGAAATGTGGCTAGGGAAAGAATAAGGAAAGAAAATAGAGTGGTACAAAGCAGACAGTGGTTAGGTGACAGAAAGGGGGGCATGAAGCATCATGGGAGCACAAGGTACCAGAAACAGAGGAGTACATCAGAGTAAGTTCCCCCAAAACCTCCCCTCCCCTGCTCCACACATACTCACTTTTCCCATCCTAGAGTAAACAGCTCAGGCTGCTATGCTCCCTTGTATCTCAAAATGTGACCAAAATTCTACTCATACTTTAAGGCCACTTCTTACAATTATTTATTTATTTATTTAGTTGAGACAAAGTCTCACTATGTTGCCCGGGCTGGAGTACAGTTGAGTCATCATAGCTCATTGCAACCTCAGACTCTGAGGCTCCAGTGCCTCTCCAGCCTCAGACTCCTGAGTAGCTAGGACTTCAGGCCCACACTACCACATTCAGATAATTTTTCTATTTTTTTGTAGAGATGGTACTCAGGCTAGATAATTTTTCTATTTTTTTTGTAGAGATGGTACTCAGGCTAGATAATTTTTCTATTTTTTTTGTAGTATGGTACTCAGGCTAGACTCCAACTCCTAACTTCAAGGGATCCTCCCTCCTCCACCTCCCAAAGTGCTGAGATTGCAGGCATGAGCCACCATACCCAGCCCATTTCCCAACTTCTGTGACTTCTTTGTCTTTGGATCCTTTGCACTTCCCAGAGCAATGCCTTGCACACAGTAGGTGCTCAGTTAACTATTTTGTCTTAATTGATCAGAGTGATTAAAAGCATATTCCCTTTTTCTTATTTGACCTAAATCTACCCCTGATTCTAGGAAAGGGAAAAAGTCCTCTTGCTCATTCTCCACTTTGGACTTTGGACCACAACATACAAGTCACTATGCATAATTATATTTTGAATTAATTCTTCTTAGGAAATCTAATTACCATTTTAAACCGCTATATAATAAGTTCCAACGTTCCAATTTAATATTAGTAAATTAGAAAATTGGGCACTACCCGTATATTTGTAAAAGCATTCACCATTTTCTGTATAGTTACAGAATATAGTTCTTATCTTTGTAGAAGAAAATATAACCAATCTTAATTGTTCACACACAAATTCCTTTCAGCAAATTTTTACCCTAGGACGATTTTTCTGTGTAGGTTTTCCTGACCCTGTCTCAAATGTCTGTTATAGTAATGAAAGCTGATTTAACTCTCTTTTGAAAACACGAATATGTTGGGAATAGAAAAATTTCATGCTTCCTTTTAACACCAAATAACAAACTGACATTAAGATATCAGCCACTGTTGCCCTCCACTACTAAAGCTGAGAAGGTCTAAGGCATACTTTAATTTCTTGATTTTATATTCTAATGCACTGCCTTTAACCGGTGAAATTTTAAGGTAATGCATGTACAAAATTTGTAAATGCAAAATTAGCAAACATCCCTTGCAAAAGAAAAAAGAAAAAGAAGGAAAAATTACACATTCCTGGCTATGGTGCAACAAAGACAATTCGCAGAATTCTTCACAGTGCATGCTAGAGCCAAAAGAGTTTAAGGAAATCAACAAGGCATCTGCTCCAGGTCAGGGTGATCCGCATGATCCAACCCCGGTTCTCGCTCGCACTACAACCAAGGTGAGTGACCCGGTACTTCGGCGGGTTTCCAAGGCGGACGTCCCTGCAGGAGCCGCAACAGGCGGAGGCGCCCAGCGCAGACACCCAGACCACAACCCGCAGGTCTAGGGCCCCGGCCCGCATGGCCTTCTTACCAATGATGGGCTTCTCGGTAGGGTCGCGGAAGGGACTGGACTGCCCTGGGCTCGCCCATCCACAGAACAGCAGGCCCAGCACGCACAGCAGGCGGCCGCAGCTCGCCATGGCCCTCGCCGCCACCCGCCGCCTCCCGCCGCCTTTCAAAGGCCGTGCGGCCGAGCCAAGAACCCCGACGACCGCGCTCCGCCGCGCGGGCCTATGGGAAATGTAGTCCCGGCGCGCGCGCCCGGCGGCCGCGGGGGCGGAGGGGGCGACTCTGGGAGCGCGAACGGCGCGCGCGCCCCATCACCCGGGCTGCGCTCCGCGACCTGCGACCGGGTGAGACTGGCGCGTCGCTTGACCGCCTCTGCCGAGAATCCGAAAAGGCGTAGATTGGGCACTCAGCGGTCGCCGGGCCCCCTGAGCAGCGGGTGGCCCCGCGTATTCCCCGTCGACTGTTATGTCAGTGGGGCCTTAAGTCACCCTGACGAAGCTGGGCGGCCAGCCCGGGTCCTCCAGGGGGAAACTGGGGGTCCCGCCTAGCCGTGTGTGTGGTAACCTAGCAGCAAGGGAGGCTGGCCGGGGGTTCTAGAAGTCTCCAGAGTTTTCGCGCTAACTCTACCTCCTGCTTAACTGGTCAGGCCCTGTCACTGTCAGTGCTGCCAGCTGAGTTTGACACTCCAGCGTTCCTTACCCTGTGGCTCCCGAGGTAATTTCTGTATATTGCTATTTGGGGGATCCAGGGGTCTGGAGGAAGTGAAGAACAGGGGAAAACACATTCACGGGAACATCTCCTAACCTCAGAACTGGTCATGGAGAGGCCACTTCCTGGCATCAGCTGCAAAGGGGCAAGTCTAGGCCACAGTGGCAAACGATATCAGCCTAATCCTAATAAACCTCACAGTCAGCAGCAACCAACTACAGATGACCACAGACTGTTCTAAGTCATCTTTGATTCTGGTTCATGCAAGGTTATTTTGAGAGTTCCCAAATATATGGCTATATAGCTAGCAGTAATATTAGGTAGAGTTCCCACCTTTAAGGACCAAGTTAAAGTAAAACTGAAGTATTTCAAAACCTACTTCAAAAATGCTGAGTATTAAGGGTGAAATATTAAACTGGGCGATGTCTTTTTCAGGAGAGGTTTTCAATTTAGAAAGAGAAAATGGCCAAGGGCATGACCTGTGCAGAGTACATGACATGTTTAAAGAAGAGTGAGTGCAAAAAGTAATCTGAACCAGAAAATAATGCTGCTGTGACAGGTATTTCCCCACAGGATGTGATGAAAAATATTGTGAAAGCGCCAACCTGGTTTTGAGCATAGTTGAATAGTCGAGGAGCCATCATAAATATGAGTTTGTGGTGCTGGAACAATTGACTATCGACATAGGAAAAAATAAATTTTTCATCTGGCATTACACACAGACATAAACTACAGGTGAAGTGAAAGTGTAAATATGAAAGGCAAAATATTGTAGATAAGAAGATATAGGAGCATATGTTTATAACCTCGGTGAATAGAAGAGTTTCATAAAACATACAAATATTAATCAAAAATGGTTGACTGTTAAAATTTTAAAAATTCTATACATCTTCAAGCAAAGTTAAGATAAACTTGGAAAACATAGTTATAAAATACAGAATTTTGAAAGAGTTCATTTCTAGAATGTAAAATAAAATTAAGACAAATGGGAAAGAATATGAAATGCAAACCAAACTTCCTCTAGTCATCAGAGAAATTTAAGTTAATACAATAGGTCACATCCATTAGATTGTGTAGCAAAACAGCCTGTTGCAGGACAAGAGTGATGCTACCTTGAAGGGAAACCACCATGATGACTGATGAACATCATACCCCACAGGAACCCCATATACCAAGGTGTTCTGCAGTAAAGTCTTTAAGCAGTACCTAGCATACATAACCCCTCTTATCCTTATCTAACCTCCCCTGTTGTCACACATCTGAGATATGAACAGTCGTATATGTCTTTATCCCAAAAGCTTGCTATATAAAATAAGCTTTTCTGGAGGGCAGGTGCGATGATCCACCAACTCATGGCCACCCAAAACATTGCTTCTGTTCCTAAGTCCCTATTGAGTATTCACAAAACTGGATTTGGCAGCCTCTCAGCAACCTGGGCCGTTGGGGGCAGGTTTACATATACCTGCTTGCTGCAGAACAGACTGACAATAGTTTAAGCCTTTAATGATAAGTCAAATGTGTAATAAAATGGGAATTTTCTAACACTGCTGGCAGAATTATAGCTATTACAACTGTTTTTGAGAGCAGATAGGCTATATCTGATAGGTGAAGATCCATATCTTCTGCAAAACATTTTCTAGATAAAAGAATATACTCTAGAGAAACATGAAACAAAGAAATATGTACACATCTGCTCTTTTGAGCATTTTTTTTTGTGATAACAAAATATTAAATGTATTGTAAGTGACCAATGTCATAAAGCTTTTCCTCTGTTTTCTTGTAGTTTCATACTTACGGATCTTTTATTTAAGTCCTTAATTCACTTTCAGTTGATTTTTGTATATGATGAAAGATAGGGCCCTAATTTCATTCTACTGAATGTGGATATCCAGCTTTCACAACATTATTTATTAAAGAAACTGTCCTTTCCTCATTTTGTATTCTTGGAATCTTTGTCAAAAATCAGTTTACCATAAATGCATGATTTTATTTCTGGGTTTTCTGTCCTGTTACATGGTCAATATGTCTTGCTTTTATGCCATTATAATTGCTTCATACTATGTTTTGAAATAAGAGTATGACATCTCCAACTTTGTTCTTTTTGTTCAAGATTGTTTTAGTTATTTGAAATCTTTTTTTATTCTCTACAAATTTCAGGATTGTTTTTCCCATTTCTCTGAAAAATTATGAGATTACATTGAATTTGTCGATTGCTGTGAGTAGTATGGACAGTTTCACAATATTCTTCCAATCTATGAACATAGGATATCTTTCTACTTATTTGTTTTCTTCAATTTATTTTAGAAGTGTTTTATAGTTTTTAGAACATAGATCTTTTACCTCCTTATTAAGCTTACACCTATTTAATTTTTTTGTTGCTATTATAAACAGAATTGTTTTATTGATTTCTTTTTCATATAGTTAAATATTTGGAAATACATTGACTTTTGTATGTTGATTTCTATTAATATTTTACAGTTTCACTGATTCTTATTTATAAGTTGCAACAGTTTTTGATGGCATCTTCAGGATGTTCTATTTATATATTTATAAGTTATGTATATCTGTGATTTTTACATATATATATTTCTATTTATGTCATCAACATGACTGTTTTCACTACTTAATTTCCTATTAGGATGCCTTTTACTTTTTTCTCTTTCCTAATTGCTCTAGCTAAGACTTTTACTATTATGTTAAAAAGAAGTGGCAAGAGTGAGTATCTTAAAGAAAAGCTTTTTCTCTGTTGAGAATAATATTAGCTGTTGGTTGGTCATTTATTGTATTGAGATATATTACCTCTATACCTATTTGTTGAGAGTTTTTAATCATGGAAGGGTGTTGAATTTTGCTTTTTCGGCATCTACTGAGATGATCATATGATTTTTATCCTTTAGTTAATGTGATATTATCATATTTACTGATTTGCTCATATGGGACCATCTTTGCATCTCTGGAATAAATCCCACTTGATTATGTGACTGATTTTTTTAATGTGTTCTCAAATTTGGTTTGTTAACATTTTGTTGAGGATTTTTTTCAACTGTTCATCAGAGATACTAGATTATAATTTACTTGTAGCATCCTCATCTCCTACAACAAAATTCAGAAAATGAGTTTTGAAGTATACTCTCTTTTGATATTTTTGTGGCATTTGAGAAGAATTGGTATTAGTTCTTCCTTAAATGTTTGATAAAATTTAGCAGTGATACCATCTGATTCTGGGCATTTCTTTTTTAGAAGACATTTTATTACCAATTCCATCTCCTCACTCATTATCAGTCTGTTCAGGTTTTCTAATTTTTTTTTTATCATCATTTAATCCTGTTAGGTTGTATGTGAAAGGGAATTTATCTGTCATGGTTTGACAGTTTTGTTTACCTTTTCAAAAAACCAATTGTTAGTTTTGTTGACTTTTCTATTGTTTTTCTAACTCAATTTTTTCATTCATTTCTGCTTTTATTTTTGTGGTGTCCTTCCTTCAGCTAACTTTGAGCCTAGTTCTTATTTTTCTAGTTTCTTAAGTTGTAACATTAGTTTATTTATTTGTAATCTTTTTTCTTTTTAATGTAGGTGTTTATTGCTATAAAATTTTTTTCTTTGGACTGTTTTTGCTGCGTTCTATAAGTTTTTGTATGTTGTCTTTCCATTTGTGTTTGTGTCATTGTCTTTTTTATTTTCTTTAGGCTTTCTTCTGTGACCCCTTGATTCTGTGGGAGCCTATTGTTCAATTTTCACAGATTCATGTATATTCCATGATTTCACCTTTTATTGATTTCTAGTTTCATACTATTGTGAGCTGAAAAGATACATGATATGGTTTCACTCCTCATAAATTTGTTAAGATTTGTGTTATGAACTAGCATATGATTTGGAATGTTCCATGTGGATTTGAGAAGAATCTGCAATATTTTGCTTTGGAGAGAATTTTTTAAATATTTATGTTAGGTCCATTTGCTCTAAAATGTAATTTAAGTCCACTGTTTGTTGATTTTCTGTCAAATGACCTGTCCATTATTGAAAGTGGGTATTGAGTTGTCTCTTAATAATGGTATTGCAGTTTATTTTTCCTTTCAGATCATTTAATAATTGCTTCATGTATGTAAGTGCTCTCATGTTGGATGCATATATATTTATGATAATGTCTTCACAGTAGATTAACTATCTTTATGCAGTGATCATTACGTAATTCTCCTTGTATATTTTATTTTTTGACTTAAAGCCTATTTTGTCTGATATGAATATAGCCCCCTTATTTTATTTTGGTTTGCATTTGGATGAAATATCTTTTTCCATCCCTTCACTTTCAGTCTACTAATTATTGATAGGTAAGGGCTTGCTATTACCATTTTGTAATTTGTTTTCTGATTATTTTCTAGTCCTTTCTTCCTTCCTCTCTTACTGTCTTCTTTTGTGGTTTGATGGTTTTCTGTGGTTGTATGCTTTGAATCTTTTCATTTTTATATATTGTGTAATTACTGTTA